CACAACAGTGGGCTACATATAAATTTAAAATATTAATATATACTAGGGATGTCCCGATCCGATACTCAGGATCGGTATCGGCTCCGATCCAGCCATTTTTGCGGGATCGGGTATCGATCAGACGAGGCCGATCCAAATCCGATATTGTGCGTATACTATTATGTTATTGTTAAGCCCCACAGAAGGCACAAAAACATTCTAAAGTACCATAACGTTTTCGTGCACTCTATTATAAGTGTTCTGAAGCCATTATGTGAGAGAGAAATTAATATTTAAGTCATTAAATTCAAGATCACATAAACTTTTCCCTCTCGCGGCTGTCAGTCATTCTCCATTCAGCACTCAAACAGCGCGTCGCGTTCGGTTAGTCAATGATGAAACTATCTTCAAGATGATTCAATGTTAATACTATTATACTTTATCTCTATAAAGGTCTATGTTTTCGCATAAAACAACATTATCTTGCCGGACTTTATTCCTGTAACTATCGTGTTACTTCCTACCAGGTGTCGGACGCTGTCAGTTAGATCGGTCTATTGCATGCATTCAGCTGACGGTCGACGACAACAGGTAAAATACATTCCCACTTTTGTCTTGTAAGCATCTGTTTTCATTTTGACGTGTTAATTTTTTAGATAAATTATTTGTTATTATGTTGTTGGAATCGTGACATTTTATGCCTAGTTCACACTACATGATTTTAAAATGTCGGGCTGAACTGTGCAGTTCACACTAAATGACTTGCTCTCAGTGAAATCATGAGTGTTCAAGTTGTTTAGCTGTTCACACCACACAACACAACGTGATTGATCCACAACAGGACGTAACTCACTACACGAGTTAACAACGCACTGCATAGAGATACAACCACGATCGGATGATAAGAGCATATCATTTGTGACTCAATGAGAGCTGTTTCAGTACTATAGTACGGTCTAAATCCTGAAAATAATCAAACAAATAACGAGTTGACAACAACACGATTCTATCTGGTCTAGACGCGAAACTGCAGAGAAGCACATAACACGCGAATATGGACGTCAGACAGAAACTAGTGCTGCACACTGTTTGCTCGACGATCTGCTCTGAGAAAAAAAATGCAAAAAAGAAAAAGTAAGATTTACCTGGTGTCCTCAACCCATGCGTTGCTATGATTGGCTGTACTCATGACATCACTGAGATTGAGTCGCGCGACTGCTCGAGATATCTAGCATGCTAGATATTTTTCTGAGCTCGGTGACCTGTCTGCGAGGTGTCTGCGAGCTGTCTTTGATGCGTTGTTGGCTCTTTCACACTATCGGATTGGCGAGCGTTAATCGCCCGCTAATCGCCCGCGATTTGCACGCGATAACACCCTGACTTGTCGGCGACTCAACGATTTGCAAATCGGGCTTAAATCGGGCTTAAAATCACGTAGTGTGAACTAGGCTTTAGCGGGTAACAGTGTATCATGGTACATGCACGTGTAACTTAGGCCTAACGTTACTGAATCCAAACAAAGCTGTAAACATTAGACACATGCAACCTACTATAAAGTGTTATGAAAACCACAATTTGACTCTTTTCTTTAGATCATTGTGATATGAAAATATAGCATTTCCTCACTAAATCTGTCGTCTTTGACAAAGTCCATAATTGATATAAATTATAAAATTGAATTTGTCTGAACATTGGCTTGTTAGAGAGCATAAGCTAATAGAGAAGAATAATGTTTGTTATTGTACAAGCACAATAAGATTAGGTTTCATTCAAAATGCCCTCATTAATTCAAGTTTGAAACTTTCAAATTAATTTTATAATACAGCATAAAAATACAAATGATTGGCTATATAAAATAAGCAAATCTAAAAAGTATCCGGCAGTATATCAATAATGCAAATAGCTCAGATGTGCATTAAAACCTAAACAGAACACACACACACACACACACACACACACAAACACATGCAACGTACAGCTACTTTCAACAATTCTTTTCTTGTGCTAATTATTTTATTCTTATTTGGCAGATGCTGTGATGACTAACTTCCCAGCAGCAACAGAGTTTTCTATTTTATTATCTTAAGTTGTTCATGTTAAAATAATTTTATATTTTTAATTTTAATATTTGGTTTGGTAATTTTTATGTTTTGAAATTACGTAATGTTGTTCTTTTGCTAAATAAAGCCTTATATATATATATATATATATATATATATTTTTTTTTTTTTGGATGGCTTGTCATTTATGAGAACCTGTTATATTTGAGTGAAAAGAATCTTTTAGCCATTTTGTTGTCTATTGCATGTATATGTAGTCGTTTAATAGTTGTCTAAGTCAGCGGTTCTCAAACTGGGGGCCGTGGCCCCCTGGGGGGCCACTAGATGGCGCTAGGAGGGCCGCAAAGAAATTCTAGAATATGAAATTATTTAAAAAAGTTATTTTACCTGTATGTAAGTTTGGATTGTCCTATGTGAAATCTGCATTGCATGATTTCTTTTGTATTGTAAAACTTGTATACAATTGTATGTCTTCTATATTGAAAAAGTATTTCTTGAAGTAGAGTAGAATTTTTTTTTTTGTTTCTTGCTGAAAAAACAGATTGCTGTTCAAATTTGCAAACCAAACTTGAGCCACTGTCATTTACTACCTTAAAATGTAAGAAGTTTAATGCACTTTTTTTACAATCAGCAAATTAATTTTTCAGTGTTTATCTTTTACTATGAACATCACAAATGTTCAGTATTCAATACTTTTGTTGCACTTTTCAGACAATAGTACTGTTAACTGTCAAAACCATTTTTTATAAAAAAAAATGTTATATTTAATGAAATGTACAATTTAACTAATTTTGTATATTCAAAGACATAAAGCTAAAAACAGAACTGTTGTTCCAGCATTGTACAAATTCATTTGTTTTTGGTACAATCTAAAATTTGTAAGTAAAATTGTACGTTTGAGGATGTTTTCGTTATGAGTTTTCTTTTGAGGGGCCACAAAAGGATTCACCCTACACAAGGGGGCCTCTTTCTGAAAAAGTTTGAGAACCACTGGTCTAAGTGATGACTAGTCTATTCTTGGGCTACATTTAGACGTCTATTAGATTTTCACTGACAGCCCAAATTTAGCCGTGTTTTAGCCTAGACCCATATGCACCGTCTATTAGACGTATAGTCGTTCAGCCGTCTAATTGTTGACTATAGTCTATTCTTGGGCTATGGTTAGACGTCTATTCTTGGGCTATGGTTAGACGTCTATTAGATTTTCACTGACAGCCCAAATTTTGCCTTGATTTAGCCTAGACGTCTGGGCTATGTTTTGATGGCTATACGCCTTATTCAGAGCAGCGCCATCTTTGATTTTTAATGAGAATGAAAGCGAGGCTGTGAGGGATAGACTTGCATCTCTTCAATGGGCTGTACTGTTATTTAATCTGTTTTCGGATTGTTCTGCTCATGAAACACTGGAAAAATATCTTTCCAAGAAATGTCAGTTGACAAAAAACTCCCGACAATATAAGCTGTGGAAAATTGTAAGTAATCTAGCCGCTTTATTCAGCTTTTTACAGCGGATGCCATTGGAAACACGGTAAGTCTATCCCTCACAGCCTCACTTTCATACCTGTCATGGCGCTGCTCTGAATAAGGTCTATTAGACGTCTTTTAGATGCAAAATTGCTTGCTGGGTTATGATGTCATCAAAATGTGTCAGTCCGCCAAATAAAAAAAATAAAAAAAATAAAAACACCAACAAGCGCACAAGTTACAAGACCAATGACTTCTTACATTCTCCTATTAATTAAATGCAGTCTTGTACCACGACTAAACATACTTGTTTTTAGAATAACAATAGCATTTTTCCACCACAGTTCCGTAACGCTAATAATCTTACCAGGACGACCCGTGAAATGCATCCAAGAGGCCACGGTCCTTCCTTTGTGCCAGAAAACAATAGCTGTCGAAGACGACACTGACTGAGAGACTTAATAGACACTTGATATCTGACACTTGTTAAAAAAGTGTGTAATATGAACTGAAGGACTGTTTGATTGACAAACCAGCCGTGTACAGTATTTATTTTGCAATGTGGTGTTTATATGCTGTGTTGTTCCAAGCCATTTTTAAGGCTTCTGATAATAAAATCAAAAAGACATGTTTTTTTATTAGCCTATTTAAATGATCAAATGTGAACATTGTGTGTGTGTATAGCTAAAGGTGTAGAACGCGCTGCTGCATATATATAGCCTATATAATCAATTATATTGGTATCTTATAGCTACAAATATTACTTTAATAATTGGGTAAAACTTGAGCACAACAGGGCTACAATGAACAAAATGAAATGAATGGGCTTTAAAGTATCAATGGGACTGAAGTTGTGTAAGCTTGCACTATGGCAACAACCCCTTAAACACAGATCAGACCTGAAAATCTCCACACTTCACTTTCAGCTCTTACTGTGGAGAAGTTTGATGCTGCAGAGAAAAATACTTAGTCATTCAGAAAATTGCTTTTCAAATATATAATAACTATTACAGTAAAAGACTTTAATTGTTAGAAAAGCTGTTTATCCAGTTTTTTGGGTTATTCTTCAAACATTTGAGTCACTGGAAACTACTAGTTGATTGTTAGTAGGCCTAAAATCAAAGGCTTCAGAGAGCTGTTTTTTTTTTTTTTTTGCTAAACTGGTAAGTTTTTTCTTAATTATTTCTATATATAAAGTTAATGTTTTCTATGTGATGGTAACTACATTATTGGGAATCCCACTGCTGCTGTATTCAGAAATGCAAGTAATCTGATTCCTTGTGGCATCAAAATAATGAATTTAGTTGACCATGCAAAATTATACTAATGTTCATTTTATAATTCTAATACAAATTAATTCCTACTCATTTAAGTGTACTTTTTACAGAAAACTTACAGCACATCAAATATTTAAGTTCTCTAACTTAAGTATTTTGTCCATGTTGTGTGTTAATAGACCAATTCACATCTTAATAGCCAACTGGTCTGATTATGACCATGGGAACTGAAGATGTTCATCGTTTTAGCTCTCTTCCCCCGATCCTGGACTCTTACCAGTCAGCACGGTGTCCAGAAAAGGTAATAGTACTCAATAGCATGCATAAAAACACAAATGAATCAGATAAAAGCAAAATTTCCCTCCTTTTCCACATACTATTAATTTATTATGAGTGCACAGAAAAGGAATTAAATATTTATCAATATTTACTTTATAGAGACCAACAGTTGGAAATACTAAATAGCATATTTTCTTTGGCATTTATTTATGATACACGCACACTTTTTAGAATACTCTAAGTTGGGTAAATACTTGGAATGCTACCAACGTCTAAAACAAAATGTCTTGGTCACACTTTAGTTTGGGGAACACATATTAACTATGACTTTTGCCTCAATAAACTCCTAATTTACTGCTTATTAATAAGTAGCAAGGTATTGTTGTAGTGGTTAAGTTTATGTATGGGGTAGGAATAAGGGATGTAGAACATGGTAATACAGAATAAGGCATTAATATGTGCTTTATTAGTAATAATGAACAGCCAATATGCCAGTAATAAGTAGTGAGAATTGGTCCCCAAACTAAAGTGTTACCAAAGTCTTGTATCAAAATGTTGTGGGATATGGTGTTCAGACTTCTGTGGACACTATGTGTATGTGAAAGTTACAGAACAGAAGATACATTGAAGAAGAAATGAACATGGGTAAATTAATTATTAAAATCCATTAAGATGCTATTTATTCAGACAACAACATGAGCATGCTGGCATTTGTAATGATTGGTGAATTTTAAAAAATGAGGGAGAGCTGGATCCAAATGCAGTTATTTATTTTATGCAGTTAAAAACACGGTTTTGTTTTCTTAAGAACGAGTATTGTTTCTTAGACATGATCAAGCCACACATTTCTGCATTTCAGTTACTGTGTTGATGGAGTTCAAAGTGTCAATTAGCATCAACTCTGAACCTATTATCCCATTCCTGTGTTCCTTCATCCCTATCCATGGAAAATAGTAGAACAGGAAAAGTACAAAATGACCAACTGCTGTATTGATCACCCTGGTTACAACTATCAACACAGTCCCCAGGTCAACTTCACAAGCCCTTTTCAATAGTCAAAAGCCCTTATTCATTCCACGAACCTTAACACATTCATTGGCCTACCCCAGTCTGTTAGATTCTTTGTACCATACCTCAGAGTTCTTTTATAGTCCTATCTAGAGAACAGAGATAAATGATTTGCATGCGGTTTGGTTCTATTAGCAGATTGAATGTGCATGGAACATCATACTAAAATATTCTGAATATACAGCAGAAACATTAAAGCAAGTGTGATCTGATTCCTGAGCAACTAATATGAGCTGGTGGTTTGTAGTGAAACAAGAAAATCCAGTGTATGTTGTCTGTTTCTGGATGAGTGAATCTTAGAATCTCACAATTCAAACTATATAAGAGACTGTGAGCTTATATTTCACAATTCAGACTGTATAACTTTGAGTTTATATCACAATTCTGGTGGGAAAAAGTTAAAAACTGGTAATTGTGAGAACTCACAACCTTTATTAATTGCATGTTTAATGTAGGCTATATTTTACAATTCTTAAAGGAGTAGTTGTAAATGAAATGCTTCGTTCCTGTTCAGGCCTGAATGAAACCTTGCCTTCAAGAATGACGAGATGAGACGACGAGAGAAGACGTTCACCTTGGAAGTAGCCCTAATTGCTGTAAATGGCACGGGAGAGGACGCTGGCGTCGGGTGTTCGCCGCTTCTCCGCTTGCTAAAAACTGCAATAGTTTTACTAATCTGTTTAACTGTTAACAGATAGTGAGCCTTCTGTCCGAACTTTCTTTTGATATTAAAACAACTTGGCTCGGATATTTTCTACCTGGGGCTGCCACTTCTGCTGGTGTGGTGAGTGACTGGAGCTGTTTTTCATCGCTCTGGGATGTTGGGGATCTTGTCGATCTGATTGCTTCGGTAATTTGAACAAACTGCTGAAATAAACCCTGGGACATCCGCAGCTAGGCTGGTCAGCTGCTACCATTATATACTGTCCTGAAACTACTTTTGCAGTCCACATGGGCTTCCACCACTTCCAGTGGATGTTACACTTGCACTCTAAGTCACTACAAGCACTGCCACTCATCCTGGTGTACATGGTCATCATTGATCCACGTCTGCCGGATTCATCGATAGTTGCTAACTGTAGCATTACAACGACTCTTCCATCTAACGTTACTATGATTCGCTATCAGCCGAATCAGATCCTGAAACTTAACACTCGCCTTATTCCATCGAACATTGCTGCTCTCAAGGAACTGGGCATCCTTCGTCGACCCCCCTACATTCATAGGGGGTCACGGCGGCGTTTTGTTTACTCCGAGAGGATCACCGAGAGCTCTATTTCGAGCCTGTGGACAGTACACCAACGACATCATAAGAAGCGTCATCAGAGCGCTGTTGGTTCACGCCTCAAAAACTGTAATCGACCACACCCACGCCCTCTGCTGGAGGAACTACCCACTGCGCGTCCTGAAAAACGCAGAGTGGATCCTACCGTGCTGCGTTCTCTGATAAGATGGACTCCATCTTCAAATATTAAAATGGAACTGTTAAATTGTCAATCACTTACCACTAAGGCATCTTTTATTCACAACTATATATTTGACCAGAAGCTTGATTTTATGTGCCTCACTGAGACATGGCACAAATCAGAAGTGTATTCTGCACTTAATGAAGCTTGCCCACCTGGCTACTCTTATCTGGAAAAAGCTAGGGGAAATGGTCGTGGAGGGGGTTTGGCGGTCATTTATCGCTCTGATTATCACCTATCTTTAGTGACCGTCCCAAAGCTGTCATCATTCGAATGTCTGGCTTTTAGATGTGACTTACCCACTCCATTCACAACCATCCTTATATACCGACCACCTAAATCACACCCCTGTTTTATTGCAGAATTAACTGAATTACTTTTATCAGTTTCTACAACATCAAACAATGTTGAAATTCTTGGAGACTTTAACATTCATGTTGAATCTCCAACAAGTTTATACACCACAGAATTACTGCAATTGTTTGATTCACTCAACCTCAGGCAACTCGTGACAGTCCCTACACATATCAAAGGCCATACACTGGATCTCATTGTGACAAACTTTCCGGTCAACAGTGTTCATGTACATGACTTAGGCATATCTGATCACAATGCCATTTCATTTGACTTCTCATTGTCGACTTCACTTAATAAACCTAAACATAAAATCTGCTTTCGCAAAACAAAAGAAATTAACCTTGAACATCTGTCATATGATTTACAAAAACTTACCACATCTGCCGATCACTCTAGTACTGACACGCTTGTCGATCATTACAATATCGGATTAAAAGGGATACTAGATGCCCATGCACCCCTCAAGACTCGGACTGTAACATTTACACGCTCTGCTCCATGGTATACTGATGCACTTCGTAGACAGAAGGCGGCTGGGAGGGTCCTTGAGAGACGCTATGTTGCCACTGGGCTCACTGTTCACAAAATCATTTATAGAGAGCACCAAAGGTCATATTCCAAATTACTCAGTCAGGCACGGTCACAATACTACTCCAATATCATTAACAACAATCCAAGAAATCCAAAACAGCTCTTTAAAACAGTAAACTATCTTCTCAGTCCATCTTCCCTGACGCATAAAAACAATACTGATGACCAGTGTAATAAATTCCTTGATTTTTTCAACACTAAAATAACTACCATCCGCGCTAATCTAATACCAAGCAATGTCACTTCATCCATCAGCTCAATCTCTGCACCAATACTCTCTCATTTCACTACTTCAACACATAGACAGGTTGAGACTCTCATACACAGTATGAGACCCTCAACATGCTCACTGGACCCTTTTCCCACTGTTATGATCAAATCAAATATTAGTTCTTTAAGTTCTTTCATCACTACCATCATTAACTCCTCCTTGCAATCGGGTCTTTTTCCAATTTTGCTTAAAACTGCTCTCATCAACCCTAGGCTAAAGAAACCATCTCTTGATCCTGATATCTTATCAAATTATCGGCCCATTTCCAACCTTCCATTTATCTCCAAAGTCATTGAAAAGATAGTTTCAAATCAAATTCATAACCATCTTCACTCACATAGTCTCTATGAAAAATTTCAGTCTGGGTTCCGCTCTGGCCATAGTGTAGAGACAGCCCTGGTCAGGGTCACAAATGATCTTCTTGTGGCTGCTGACCAGGGCTCTCCATCTCTCCTTATTCTCTTGGACCTCACAGCCGCCTTTGACACTGTTGACCACGCCATTTTACTCCATCGTTTGCAACACCTCATTGGCATCTCACACACAGCACTTCAATGGTTTCGATCCTATCTGACTGACAGGGTTGAGTATGTGGCCCTGGGGGGGGGCCAGGTCGAGGCCCCACATAGTCACATGTGGAGTGCCCCAGGGTTCCGTTCTCGGCCCTACCCTTTTTTCCATTTATATGCTCCCACTGGGCCACATCATCAGCAAGCATGGCGTTGCCTTCCATTGCTATGCTGATGATACTCAGCTATATGTCAGGCTAGACCCAACATCACCTACACTATCACTGTCCACTCTAAACGCCTGCCTGGAAGAGACAAGGGCATGGATGACGGATAACTTCCTCCAGCTAAACAGCACAAAAACTGAAGGTCTCCTAATTGGGACCCCACACCAACTCCGATCTTCCCCCTGACCGTTTACTCATTTGCTGGCCATGACATTCATTTGACATCCTCCATAGTAAACCTGGGGGTACGATTTGACGCCCATTTATCATTTAATACTCACATCCAACACATCTGTAAAACTGCATTTTTTCATCTCCGGAACATCTCCAAACTCCGCCCCTCCCTCTCCTTTTCTGATGCAGAAATGCTGGTGCATGCCTTTGTCTCCTCCAGGCTTGACTTTTGCAATTCACTCCTCGTTGGGATCCCTGGCAGTAGCATGCAAAGATTGCAGTACATTCAGAATTGCGCTGCCAGGGTCCTGATGAGGGTGCGCAGATTCGAGCACATCACACCTATCCTCCAAAAACTC